CGCTGGGTGGCTAAGGCGGGTCTTACCTCGGGCTTCGCTGCGGTGGCCACTACAGCCCCTCCTTTATGGCGGAAGCTGCCTCCCACCCTCGGCCCCAGGGTGAGGCCGGAGGAGACAGCAGAGACGGAGGCCAACGAGGGTTCCGGGAGGGTGGGCCCAGTTGCTTCAGGCGCGCGCACTTACCTCCCACGCCCCCTACCGCCTACCCGAGTCGCCCGCTCGCACGTGACGCCACCAGAGTGTCCCGTGTGCGCTTGCGCGGGCACACCCATTCCGTCGACTCCAGGCAGCCCCGCCCCAACGTTTTTTTTCCGCTGCGAACGGCGGAGCTGGGAACGCTGCCTTCGACTCTCCCTCTACTGGAGTGTAATGTCGCAAGGTTGGGGTAGAAAGCTCTGGGTTTGCGACCGTAGCTCTCGCTTTCCGGCCAACACAGAGACAGACGTGCCTGAATGCTGGTTGAGGTGGTGAGGCCCGAGGCAGGTAAGAAGCCGCCTCCCCGCTTCGGTTTGTCGGGGATTGTGTCCGGGCCTGGGGCCGCTGTGCTGCCCACGCAGAGCTAGCGTATCCGTGCCCCCTCCCCAGTTCTGGCTCTTGATTCTCAGCGGCCCTCTGAGCCCCCGCCCCTTTCCACACACACGCCCCTCTCCCCGCCCCCGACCTCCTTTTTTTTTTTTTTTTTTAGTCCTTTCCATTCATTCTTCCGACTTTTTACAGTGATGTCCATACCTTGGACTCAAGAAAGTCAGAAACGAATGAAATAGCCTCAGCTTTCTGAAGTGTTGTGTTACGTGGGAGACGATGAGAGAGTCCGCAGTGGTAGTAAAGTAAATTATAACAGAAAAAAAGCACAGGATACTCTCTGAGCATAGAAGAGGGCCCCCCCTCGCCCCACCCCCCCCGATTGCGGAGGACGAGGAAACCCTTTCAAGAGGAAACCCTTTCAAGGCGACCTTCGGCTCACTCTTAACTTGTGTTAGAAGGCTAGTGAGCAATTGCTGGTCAAATAAATAGGAGAAGCAGAAAGAGTGCCAGGTACAAAAGGATACGACAGTATTTGGTCCGGAAGAGTAAAAAGCTCGAGGAATAGGATATAGCTAGTGGAAACCATACTGGTGTAGCCTACACTTTAAGGAAGCGTCGTTGTAAAGGGTAAGAAGGATGAGGACCGATAATGTGGGCCGCAAGTATATTTTTTTTAAAGATGAGAGACTCTTAGTGTACCATGGAACCAAGAAGTGGATAGTGCATGGGTGAGGGTGTCCAATTTATAGGATCAAGAGCTCTAATAGAACTCAACCTTGTACCACATCAGCATCATCTGGGAAGCGCTAAAAAAAATAAAATCAGCCCTAGCCTGTTTGGCTCAGTGGATAGAGCATTGGCCTGCGAACTGAAGGGTCCCAGGTTCGATTCCGGTCAAGGGCACATGCCTGGTTTGTGGGCTCCATCCCCAGTGGGGGACTTGCAGGAGGCAACCAATCCATGATTCTCTCTCATCATGGATGTTTCTATCTCTCTCTCCCTCTTCCTTCCTCTCTGAAATCAATAAAAGTATATTTAAAAAATAATAAATAAAAAAATAAAATCAGCCGAGACCGGTTTGGCTCAGTGGATAGAGCGTCGGCCTGCGGACTGAAGGGTCCCAGGTTCGATTCCAGTCAAGGGCATGTACCTGGGTTGCGGGCACATCCCCAGTAAAAAAATAAAAATAAATAAATAAATAAATAAAATCAATGTTGTTGCTCCACCCAAAACCAATTAAACAATCTCTGGTCCAGTAATATTTTCTCCTGAGATGACTAATGCTGAGGGTTGAAAACCACTAAGCTAGAAAAATGTAAAGAATTGGAAGTAGAGAAGGACATAAAGGTATGGAGTTGGCTTTGTGACATTAGAATGGGAGTCATTTGATGAGAGAGAGAGTTTGGGATGGAATGAGAAGCTTGAGCAGAGATGAAAATTTTGAATAACTGTTCTGGGAAATGGAAGGAAAAAAAGCTGTTCCTGCCTTTCCCTTGAGCACAGTTCCATCCCTTAATTTTAATCAGGTCTCCTCATTTACAGCTCTTTTTCCTCTCCTTTTCTCGTCTGTCAGCTGGGGTTTCAGTCTTATAGCTCAAGAGTATCCTCATTTTTATCCCCCAAAAGATCAGAGTTGAGCCAATTTATGAAATGCAAAGACTAACTTCACTCTCCTAGAAATTACTACGCACAGTGCCTTGCCAATTATTAATTTCATCAATCATTTAAGTTAGGAATGAGATATAAACATATTTAGGATATAGCCCTACTAGGATATAGTATTAGGGAAAACCTTTAAAAGAATAATTCACTTGGCTGGCAGAGAAGGGCTGTAAAGGCAAAGCACAAGCCAGTGCAAGGCTACTATCCATTAACTTGGGTTAATCCAAAAACCTGTCTGTCTGCCTCCAGATAAGAGAGAGTCACTGTTGTGTGTTATGACTAGAGCATCGTATGGAGAATGGGTGGAGCAGAGAGAAAGATGATAAAGTGTAGTCTTCAATCCCATGCTAAAACATTTAGTTTATATGCTATTAGCAATTAATAGGTAAAAATAACAAAGATAAAAAGAAAATAACCTCTTTTACACCATGGACCTCTGTGATAGCCAGACCTGTGGCCCCTATCTCAGAATGTTTTTAAATGTGAAATAAAATACATGGAAATGAATGGAACCAATTTTATTCAAAGTTTTAAAAATATTAAAACAAGTGTGTGATGTAGTTCTATATGTACTTTGTGCATTAATTATCTGGCAGCAGGTCTTATTGTGTAATTCCAAAATAATGATGAGTGTAAATTATATTTTGAGATACCTGCAACAACTTTAATATGGTGTGAAAATATCCTATTTTTTATTGGTGACAAAAGACAGGGATTGCTGATACTACTCTATATCATTGCCTACATTTATTGACGAAAATACCGAATTTCACCTAGAGATTATTGGAAATAAAAATGCAATTTTAGCCCTGGCTGGTTTGGCTCAGTGGAGGGAGCATCAGGCTGAGACCTGAAGGGTCCCGGGTTTGATTCCACTCAAGGGCACAAGTTGTGGGCTCGATCCCCAATGGGGGACTTGTGGGAGGCCGCCAGCCCATGATTCTCTCTCATCATGGATGTTTCTGTCTCTCTCTCCCTCTTCCTTCCTCTCTGAAATCAATAAAAATATTTTTAAATGCAATTTTATTCACCAATCCAAGTCCATGGAAACTTTAAATTCTAACCACATCCTGGCCCATGGAGCCTAGATTTATAAAAAAAACTCACTCTATTGTTTTTAAGCAATAGCATGATATATGAAATCTGTGTTTCAGAGAGGTACTAGAGCGGTGTTCACTTCCCAACCTCTCTGTTGGAGCTCAAGTGGGGAACTGGCTATTGTCTTCTCCTCCAGTACCTTAGGTGCAGCAATCCACTGTTGCCTAATACTTTAGGCCTCCTGGAGGAGAGGCCTAGTTTGTAGCTATCTATGTAGGAGCAGTACTAGGAAATAGATTGGGAAAGATAGATTGGGGCTATTTTTGTCGAAATCATTGAATGCCAGGCTGTAATCTGTACTTGCTTTGGCAGATGATGGAGAGATGTAAAAATTTTTGGAGTAGGATAATGTAATTAGAGTTCTTTTTGAAAAATTATTCTAGCAGTAATATATAGGTTAGATCATCAAAAGATAAGATAGGAATGAAGATACTATATAAAATAAGTAAGTAAATAAATAAATAAATGATTTTTTAAACTAAATGTTATCAAGGGACGTTCTAAAGAGTCTGCTAAATTACTTTATTTCCCCAATGTGCTGGCTACTCTAAAAAACACAGATTGGCCCTAGCCAGTGTGGCTTGGTTAGTTAGAGCATTGTCTGTGCTCCAGAAGATGGTAGATTCGATTCCCAGTGGCAGGGGGCGAGGGGGTTGTAAAGGAGGCAGCTGAATCTTACACCTCTCTCTCTCCCTCTCTCCCTCCTCCTCCTCCTCTTTCCTTCCTCCCTCTCTCACTCTTTCCCACTACCTCTCTCTGAAAAAAGAAAAAATCAATGAAGATACATACATTGGGTCTGGCTGATGTGACTCAGTAGTTGAGCATTGACCTATGAACCATGAGGTCAAGGTTTGATTCCCTGTCAGGGCACATGGCCCGGTTTCAGGCTTGATCCCCAGTCAGGGCATGCAGGAGAAAGCCAATAGATGATTCTCTCTCATCATTGATGTTTCTCTCTCTCTCTCTCTCTCTCTCTCTCTCTCTCTCTCTCTCCCCCTTCCTCTCTGAAATCGATAATTTTTTTTTTTTAAGAAACATAGATTGGGATAAATAGCATACCTCTTAACAGGGACGTGTACACCAACGTAGAGGTCAGTTAGCATTTTACATGATCAAGAGGCTATTCCATTCTTTTGTATTATAAAATGATAATGTTAGCACTTCTGATAAGCAATGGCTTTACTTCATAAATCAGTTCCCAGATGTTGCTAAGGTTTCCTTGATTAACTGTCATCTACACCTGTAGGTCCTACATTTCTGACTTTTTAACGTCAAGACTCCTTTCCTTGCCAGTCCCTTAAACCTCTTTGATGAATACAATGTATTAGGAAACAAAAAGGCATTCCTCAAAGCCCAGATAACCCATCCCTTTGAAAACTGATTGATACCAGACCATATAAAACTTACTGCCCAAATCCCAGATAGTCCCCAAATTGTGCCCTTTTTAAAACATATTATTCAACAAATTGAATTTGGGGTCCAAGTATTACTAAACCAAATAAGTAAAGTTACTTAACTTTATGAACCAGATTCTCTGAGACTACCTTCTTCAGCGTGACTGGCCTATACTGACTTTCTGTCCACCTATTAGAGATCATGTGAGTGGTGATATGGTTTAATATAGATTTCAGTCTATATTAAGACTTATGCAGAGGTTGAGATTCATCTGTCTGTTCCCTTTTTGGGGGGAAATGGAAGAATGAGTCTATCTTAAAGCAGAGAGAATACTTGAAACTTATGAGGGTTATAAGAATTTTTATTACTTACAGAAAATCTAAAAGTTCCTTACTCTGATTTCCAATTAAATGGCTACCCCTTCTCACATTCATCTGTTTTGAAAGCACTAGAACACAGTCCTGATACTAAAAATTGTCCTGATTATAGTTATTATTTTTGAACATCTATACATTTAAAAACCTTAGGCCTGGCTTCCCTGGTGGCCAATGAATAAGTTTTCTCTGAGAGTAATGTGATAGGTTAAATTCCTTTAAAACAATAACTTGGGGATTTCTGTCCTTATCTGGCTCTAATTTTCTCAGTACTGTTTATTGCAGCAACTTGACACTTTAGCAACTAAAGTAAATAGTTGCTGAAAATGTTTAGCCCTACTTAATAATGTATAATATAATTCAAACTTAGATAATTCACAAGTGTTCGTGTTAATTAACATTGAAAGACAAATTGCAAGACAAAATTTT